GAGGGTTTGGAGAGTCGGCGTGCCGGGGCAGCCGGGGCAGCAGCATGGTCCAGCAACGGAGCACGAGGACCCGGGGCGTGGAAGCCAAGCGGGAGGCGTGTTCCAAAGCCAGCCTGCTCTTGAAAGATGCCGCGGGGGAGCCGGGCTGGTGCAAGACCCCCAGTGGGCACATCAAGCGCCCCATGAACGCCTTCATGGTCTGGTCCCAGAACGAGAGGCGCAAGATCATGGACCAGTGGCCCGACATGCACAATGCCGAGATCTCCAAGCGCCTCGGACGGCGCTGGCAGCTTCTGCAGGACTCGGAGAAGATCCCTTTTGTCAAGGAGGCCGAGCGGCTGCGGCTGAAGCACATGGCCGACTATCCCGACTACAAGTACCGGCCCAGGAAGAAAGGGAAGCTGGGCGGCGCCAAGTCCCGCCCGAGAGTGCCCGTGAAGATCAAGCCCTCCGTCCTCGGACGGGCGGCCTCCCCCAGGAGGCAGACGCCGAAGCCAGACGCCGGAGCCCAGGGGGGCCGCTCCTCCCCGAAGCCGGACGACGACCCCCTCGATGCCCGCGTCCTGGAGGAGTCTTTTGACGAGAGTCCCGGCACGCCCAGCAAGGAGTTCTGGCACGCGCTTCCTGTGGCCGGGGAGAAAGGAGCGTGGGGGGCCAGCTCTGGCCAGGCCAAAGGCCCCGAAGCCGCTGCGCTGGGCAAACCCTGGTCCTCCGAAGTCTCTTCCCCAGCTTCCATGAGGTCTCCTCCTTCTTCCTTTGCCTCCTCGGACGAAGAGCCGGAAGAAGACCTGTGGAATGTCTTGCCCGGCCGAGTCCAGCCAAGCACGCCCTGCGGGAGCCCGGACTGGGCCCTCTTCGATAAAGACCTCGACCTCTTTCCTTTGGGCGCCTCGTCTCACTTTGAATTCCCCGATTACTGTACCCCGGAAGTGACCGAGATGATAGCCGGGGACTGGCTGATGTCCAGTATTTCGGACTTGGTCTTTACATACTGAGTCCTACCAGGTAACTCTCACTTCTCAACAATCAGGTGGTTCCAGAAAAAAAGAGAGAGAAGAAGAAACCCAGCTGTTTACATGCAGAATCAGGTATCTCCGTGTCTTGCCTTGGCTTCATTCAAAGGCGAGTCCATCCCCCCCCGGCACACACCCACTTGGCCAGCCTCTCCTGGCTCGCTCTGGGAGGCTTCCCGTCACCTCTCACCCCCCCATCTCACAAGCCACCGAGAACTCCTGGCTTGGCACCGTGTTTATTTGCCCATGAAATTTGACTGTCTAATCAGGTTTTGCATTGTAATCCTCGCTAGCTGTCCGTTCCTGACACCCCCCACCCACCCCCCGCAGCTGCTTCCCGGCTCTGATGCCGCCCATGGCTGACACGCTCCCTCTCCCTCTCCGTTTGCACTCCAGCCTCACTCGGTCCTCGGGTGCCCACGCTCCCTCTCTCGGCACCCCGCTCTTCACCCCTTCCTGTCCTGCCCCCACCTGGAGGGGCTCCGTGGCTTCACTGGGCGTTGATTCCGGGGCCATTTCGATGCCGATGGCAGGAGACATGGCAGGGACGATCCCATCCTCCTTTTTGTTCCCTCTTTCAATGGCTGCCAGGGAAAAGATTCCATCAGAGGGCACCGCGTTCCTCAGCGCTGGGGAGGACAGGATGGCTGGTCGCTCTCCGGCGCCTGGGATCGGGCGGGCTTCGGCTTCCTCACTTGACGAGACTTTCGTGTTGCCAATGCACGAAATCCATCCCTGTACTGGGGTGGGAAGCCTTCGCTTGGGGAGAAAGCAAAGTGGCGGGGGCGTGGTAAACACGTGGACCCACAATGCAAGCACGCTTGTGTGTAGCAATTTTGTCTCCCCGAAAAAGCCCCCCCCTTTTTTTGCCAGAGGTATGCTGCAGGCAGAGCAGGGCACTGCCTCCTCCCTTGCATGTTGCATTAAGTCAGATGGTCGATCGCAATATCGTTGGCATGCTCCCTGCCACTCCCTCCGATGCCACGTCTCAGCTTCTGCGGCTCACCCACCTCCCTGGCCCTAGCCGGCTAGCCCTGGACTTCGCCTGCTGCAAATAGAGTCTTCTCTGGGTCTCTGGAACGGGGGTCTCCTTGAAGGCCCATCTGGGAATGGCTGAAAGCTATCTCCGTCCTTCTTGGTGGGCTGTGACTTTCACTGAAGGTCAATCCAGCCCCCCCCTTCTCCCAGAAAAGATTCTGCAGCAGTATTCTGCTAGGGTGGCAGGGCTGAGGGTCAGATTTGTCATCACGCCTCACTTCCAGGAGGAGGGTGCCTGGGTTGGGTTGGGTTGGGTTGAGCTGCTCCGCTGAGCTCTGCCCTCCGGTTCCTTTGCCTGCTCTGGTGAAAAATCCACGTTGCACCAGTGGGCGTGCCTCGCTAGGCCTGGCAGGGTTGTGACGGGGAGGGAGGGAGGCAGAGGCTCTGCCGGGCACCTGTGGGAGCGCTGCCAGAGCGGACGTGCCCAAAGTCCAGCGGAAGCGGCCACCCCAGGCAGGGAAAGGGGGAGCCCCCCCGCCCCGCCACCCGC